ACACTATATTGGATTTACATAGTGATTTGTGTCATGTTACACTATGTTTATTCTTCTGTTGACTGGCGGATTATCAAATAAGTAACTTTATTAAAATAATACACATTTAATAAAATTCTTAAAACATATTTATATTTATCATATTCGTATTAACAAGAATCTCTTAAACATGCTAGTTGCATTTAAAAAGACAAATTTAATATTATTAGCTTAATATGCTTAATCAATAATATTTCAATTGCATTTATACTTCCATATTTATATCAACTAGAAAATTTGCTTAACCTATATTCAAATCAAGGTGCTAATTCAAAAATAAAAAGTAATAATAATTTGTATTATAAGTAACTTTATTAAAATAATACACATTTAATAAAATTCTTAAAGTGTATTTATATTTATCATATTCATATCAACAAGAATCTTTTAAACATGCTAGTCACATTTAAAAAGACAAATTTAATATTATTAGCCTAATATGCTTAATCGATAATATTTCAATTGTATTTATACTTCCATATTCATATCAACTAGAAAATTCGCTTAACTCATAATCGAACTGAGATGCTAATTCAAAAATAAAAAGTAATAATAATTCATATTATAAGTAACTTTATTAAAATAATACATATTTAATAGATTTATAAATAAATTCTATGATATAATACAATAAGAAGACTCTTAGTGCTAATTCAGAAAAGACAGCTAAATTATTAAAAATAAAATTAGTATTATTAACATAATAACACCTTCTAAATTAGAGCAATAAGAACTTAAAACATACTTATCAAGAATTCTTATTTGACTATTTGTATATTAAATAAGACATCTTTGTAAAATATAGCAATATAGCACTAATTCAGAAAATATATAACAGCATCTATTTTCCTTATTGCTAATATATTTACACTTTTTTTTTTGTCAAAATGCTATCTAGATGCTCAAAAGCAAAAAAAGTATCTAATCTTTATTTCAAGAAAAAAAATCTCTCACCTATCTAAAATACAAACTATTATATTTTTAGAGACAAATTCATGCTTCTTTTCCAGTTGTTGTTGATGAGACTGGTGCTAGATTTTCAGCTTTCATAAAATTGACACCTCTCCAAAGTACTAAAAATAAACAATATCAAGATAAATATATTAAATGATATTTAACCAAAGTTAAATATACTTTCAATCTAACTTATAGTATAGAAGATGGAATTGTAAGAATGATAACCTCTTTACACAGTTTTCTAAATCATAACAATGAATTATCTGAAGCTTTATTTAATAGTTTGGTTGCATACAAAAAAACCAAAGAACATAAGACATATAATAATACTGAGTATAATTATATTGTTAGTGAGGCCCAATGGTTTTCCACTCAATCTATGCCACTATCTGTGGCAACTATATGGTTCTTTAGAACAGTGACTAGCTTCGTGAAAAATACAAAAAATACAGAAGTAGGAGTGATTTTGCTTGAAAGTGATATCCAATACAAAGAAATAGCAGTCGAACTAGTAGATACTATAATAAATGATCAATATAATTTTATGAAAATAGTAAATTAGAGCTTAAAAAAAAGCAACCTAAAATAACCAATGATTCTATTATAAATAGAGAAAGTGAAACTAATAGTAGAGAGGACCAGATACCTGAAATAAACAATAATTCTATTGTAAATAGAAAAAGAGTATCTGAAAATAATAGTAAAGAGAACCAGGTACCTAGAATAATTGAGATATCAAGTAATGAAGAGGACAAAATATCTGAAATAATTGGAATATCAAGTGATGAAGAAAACCAAACACCTGAAGATAAACAGATATCCAAAATAATTGTGTTATTAAGTATTTTAAAAGAACAAACTTCTGAAATAGCTATAATAAATAGTTTTAGAATATATTGATATAGTATAACTTACTAGTTTTTTTTTTTATATTATATTATTATATTAAGATGAAGTTTATCTTATCATTATCATTATCTTGTACTATATAATAGCCAAATTTAATCATTAATTTGTATTTAACCAATTCTGATTGGTCAAAAATAAATATAACAATTATTTTTATATATTGGGGATACCAAAAAAAAAAAGTCTATTTTCTGTTAAAAATATGTAAGACTCAAAGTTATTATTTGTTTAATAATAAATAGTGCTTAAACAAAGTATTTACACTCTTTCTCCTAATTATCCGTACCAGATCTTGAGCTAAAAGAAAATCTAACTTAAAGCAAAACTCTACTAAGACAATAAGAATTTTGATTTTAAGTCAAAAGATAGAGTTAAAGAAAGCAACTAGAGTTTCTTAAAATGACTTCAAACTCCTT